CGTAGGTTGTCCTGACTACTAATAGATGTAATCACTCTATTTCGTTAAGGTGAAGAAATAGTAATAGTTGAATTTTCCGACAATGATATGAATGTATAGTATGTTTTAATTGAATTCCATAAAGCCTTGCTTCCCAAAAGTTATTCTCATCCAGGCCTGACTTCAGTCTCGAACTCGCCTAGGTCTCATCAGCATCCCTGGAGGGACTCGAACTCATGTTGTGATAATGAAGCGTATACTCCTGACACGTTAACCACTACGCCACATTGGGTCAGAGGGCAGATGCGAATTTCAAGGAACGCCAGGCATTTTCCCAAATCCCATTTTGTGGTAAGATTGTCGATAAAGCAAAGTTGTGTTTGCTGTATAAATCGACTACTATACTTCTTTTTTGTTAATAACTAGGTTTTTATGATTACCCGTAGATCACATATATGCTATGTATTTTGAGAAAAGGAAGAACTGGTAGTTGAATTTTCCCACAATGTTATGAATGAGCTTTACGCTTTCGTCGAAGATATGAAGACCAAGATTGTATGGTTGCAAAGAAATTTAATGAACAGCAGACTGGAAGAAGGCAGAGTTTGTGATAACTTTGCCTGTTGCTTAAGCAAGCCAGGGGAAAATGGAGATACGACATGCAAACAAAAAGGAGACGCCTGGATCAGGGACCTATCGTTGACCAGAGGAAAAAGGGATCCCGAGGAGAAAGGGGGAGGTATTTCGGAAATCAAGCGAAGACGTTTTTAATGAGCGAAATCATTTCGAGGAGACCTGCACAACTTTGGGTGCCTGGCGGTCACGGAACTAGGGAGACGGATACGCACAACCGTCACAGAAATTATGGCCTAAATGTACCATATCCGGATTGGAGGCCCGAGTAAGATTAACCGGTTGAAAAAGGGGGACAAAGGTGAACATCAGGTGTGATGATACCAGGCTAAACTTGCCAAAATGGCACGCCTTTTGACGAGTGGAATGTAAACAAGTCCGAAGCTGTGACAAGACAGGAGTGGGATAAGAGGCTAAGGAGTAGATAGATGGGCCAGGACAGAAAAAGTGCAACCGTTTCAGCAGAAAGTTGGTTAAGGGATTGGCTTCACTTGTCACTTTAACGAGTTTTTAGCCTGGAACGGAGAAGTGCAAGACTCACTGATGATGCCGACTACGATGCCTGCGAAACGTCTGAGAAGGTACCAATTCCACTGTCTGATGCTGGGAATTATGACAACTACTATGGCAGAGAACTTCGGACAATGTGCGTTCTACTAAGTAGCCCTGACAACAATACCAAGTTGCGAAAACGATGTCAACCCACTTCTATTACGCTTTCATGTTTTATGCGATGGTCTATTCATGAAATTGTGGGAGATTCAATTACCAGTCCTTCCTTCCCTTAACAAAATAGGGTAAATAGATTTCATATAGTTTAATAGAAAAATATTCACAAATTTGTAGATATCCAGCGGCTTAGTTAATCATTATGCAATTAACATTTCAATAATAGTTAATATTTATTTTCGACTGAGATGACGAAACCATAACTTGTCAAGCTCCCATGCTACCCTGTCACGGTTCGACTCCCGCTGGGGGTGTTGACCCAGGCGAGTTCGAAACTACAAAGCAAAGCTTTGTGAAATTCAATGGAAACTTTAGCTCTACTCATATCATTGTGGGAAAATTCTACTACCAGTCCTTCATCACCTTAAACGAAATAGGGTGAATACATCTCACATGAACCATAAAGACTTTTGACGGGGAAGAGATTACAAATAAATGATGACATATATCTAGATGAATGGATAGACAAACATGCATACAGACAGAGAGGACTAGAGAGAGGGCGAAAGATGGAAAGATATATACACATACATACAAATATATTTGTGTAGGTAAATGGATATGCTGATGGAAGGATAGATAAATGTATATGGATGAGGGGCTGAAATAAAAACGGATACATTTTCAAATATGGAGTAAAGGTGGCTATACCAGGTCTAAATAGCTCTAGTCTCATCTGCGTGTTAGGCCAATTTTTAGGAAATAGTAAATCACTTTATAAATTGAAACTAAGTCCGTTTCACGGAGAACTAGATTTTATCACAATAGCATAAAATTACAAGTATGTGTTAGCAAATTGAAGAAGAAATCCGCGAAATTTTGGTGCGCACGTATGTGCGCTTCACTTTAAGGCCTATCTAAGCCAACTCGAAAGGAGGCATACTTGCAATGGAACTTCAATTTTGCGGGTTCCTTTCAGGGCCCCAACAAAGAGCCTGATTCCTCATTAGTTGGCGGTGTCCAAAAGATGCGGCAAGTCAAGTGCCGGACGATTAAGTGGAGAGACTGGGATAAACACTTATTTATGAGGTATCCATAGTTAGGGCGAGTTAATGCGTGCATATTTTGGCGAGCAATAGTGCCTGTGTGTAGACTGGTATGGTTTCGATGTGACACTGCACAGTTGTCGGAACAAAGGGAGCACTGTGTATTGTAAAAAAGTATTGTTGTTGAAAGCTTGCATCCATTCGAGCACTATGAATGGGCATAAGAAGTTTCCATTTGTCTGCGGAGTCCTCCATTTGATGGGCCAATCCAATGCCTAGCAGCAGCCTGACTGGCCCTTATAGCACAGACCTACAGGACGGTAGAAAGACGAGAAAGTCCAGACTTAAGATAGCCTCGTATCGATCCGTCAGAGGGCAAGTAGGAGGCATAATCCCCTGTTCTGCAGGTGGCCATGCCTACAGACGTATCATGTACGGCTTTGTCGGGGACTCAAGCCTGGAGGCCTATAGTCCTCCAATCAGGCCATCTGGAGCACCATTTTGAGGAATCCACGACCCGATTCCCTCGAAACTATGTCTCGACCGCCCCAGTCTAACTGAGAGTTTGTTGGGTCCTTTTTGTGTTGGGACCCTTATTGCACTAACCGCTGAAACTAGTCGTATCATTAAACGTAGATATGAAGACCAAGATGTGGTGGCCTCTATTTTGGTAGCAATCTACTTTCGATGTAAGAATTGGTACGCCCTCGTTTTCGCAACTTGGTCGTGTTGTCAAGGTGACCTAGTTGGGTGCCAATTACGATGCAGGCGAAACGTCTGGGGATGTACTAAGGCCATGGTCCAAGCTGAGAATAATGAAATGTACTATAACAGAGGACATCGGACAAGGTGCATCCAATTAGGTCGTCATGACAACACAACCAGACTGCGAAAACGAATTCAAATAAATTCTGTGTTGTCATTGTCCATCGTTAAATGATATCGAGGCCACAAAGGTAGCGAGTCTCGAGCACTTATTGCCTTCCCCGAACTCGATCCCATCCCCAATCCCGAAAATGTATGTGAGGAAGATACCTAAAAGTAATTGGGTTTTTTGCATAGAGAAAGTGTTTTCTGTACAGCGTTTCTGGCCCAATATAATATATTAATTGTCTGTGTTTCGAGACAAAATGACATATATTGAAGTCAGATTTTCGCTCCTAGCTGTGGTGTGTTATATATATATATATATATATATACTCCAGAAAGTATGGTAATATGAAGA